TTTCAGGACCCCCGCGCTGGATCTTGCGCGTGAGCTCGGCCATTCTGGCCGTGACTTCAGACATGTGCTTCTCATTTTCCTTGTACTCCTCCGACGAGGGGTCGACATTGGTTTGGAGGCGCGATATGGCGGCAGCTTGGTGAGGGGGCGTGAGGTTCGCGATGGCGCGGGACTGGATGTGATGCTGTTTGGGATGATGGGCGCGGAGGCGGGCCAGCCGCAGGGCCTGTTGTGATGACCGGCTGAGAGACATTGTGGAATTGGCGTCTCTGCAGGTGTAATTGAGCAACTCTTGTTGGCGCTGGGCAAGAAGGCAGGCTTCTGGGAAGAGGGGGGGGGAAAGAAGACGACGAAGGAGGAAAAGAAGAAGGGATATGAAAGGCCGAGACAAGGCGTAGCATTCGAGAGCAAGCTTGTCCGCAAAGCCGGCAAACTGACGTCGTGGGCAGAAGGAGCCAAAATCTGGGGTTGGCGGCCCGCAGCAAGCCGAAGTAAGCCGCAGATCTTTGGCTGTGAGCCTTGGATGGCCGCATCCATCCAGATCCTCGGCTTTACTTTAAACTTGGACTTCTTTTCTGGACTCGAGCCAGTGCCTCACTTTTTTTCTTGTCTGCTGCTTGCCTGGGAATTGACCTGGGACACTCGACTTTTCGCCTCCACCCTTTCATTTCAACGCCTTTACAAAACCACATACAACATGGCAGCGAGCTTTAGATCGCTCACCAGAGCAGTCTCGCGACCCGCCACCCGGCGACTACGGCCCTCGCCCGCATCAATCGCTCTTCCTACCATCCAGAAAAGACTACACTCGTCCAAGCACCCCAAGGGTTTTGAGGCGCCCACGACCGAGGAGCTAGACGAGCTGCGCGAGCGTGTGCACGAGTTCACGCGCCGCGAAATCACGGAAGAGGTCGCCGCGCACACAGACAAGAGCAATGCTTTCCCCAACGAGATGTGGCCGAAGCTCGGCGAGGCCGGGTTCCTGGGCATCACGGCCGACGAGGACGTTGGCGGGCTGGGCATGGGCTACCAGGCTCACGCCGTCGTCATGGAGGAAATGTCCCGCGCGTCAGGGTCCATTGGGCTGAGCTACGCGGCGCATTCGCAGCTCTGCGTGAACCAGCTGCAGCTCAACGGCAGCCCGGAGCAGAAGAAGAAGTACCTCCCCGGCCTGATTGCCGGCACCAAGGTCGGCGCGCTGGCCATGTCCGAGTCCGGCTCCGGCAGCGACGTCGTGAGCATGCGCACGTCGGCCAAGAAGGTCGACGGCGGCTATCTCCTCAACGGCTCCAAGATGTGGATAACCAACGGGCCCGACGCCGACTTGATCGTCGTCTACGCCAAAACGGAGCCCGACAAGGGGTCCAAGGGCATCACGGCCTTCCTGGTCGAGACCAAGGCGGACGGGTTCAGCTGCGCCCGGAAGCTGGACAAGATGGGCATGCGCGGCAGCAACACGGGCGAGCTCATGTTCGACAACGTCTTCGTCCCCGAGGACAACGTCGTGGGCAGCGTCAACGGCGGCGTGCGCGTCCTCATGGAGGGCCTCGACCTGGAGCGCCTGGTCCTCTCGGCTGGGCCCCTGGGCATCATGCAGGCCGCGCTCGACGTTGCCCTGCCCTTCTCCCACCAGCGCAAGCAGTTTGGTTCCCCGATTGCTCACAACCAGCTGGTCCAGGGCAAGCTTGCCGACATGTACACCAAGCTGCAGGCGTCGCGGGCCTATACCTACGCCACGGCCAGGCAGGTTGATGAGCAGGGCGTTATCCGCACCCAGGACTGTGCTGGCGCCATTCTGTACGCGGCTGAGCGTGCGACCGAGTGCGCACTTGACTGTATCCAGTTGCTGGGTGGTATGGGCTATGTTGAGGAGATGCCTGCCTCGAGATTGCTGAGAGAGTAAGCTTGACCCTTTTCTGTTTTCCCATCTAGTGCCTTGTTGCCACACTTGACAAGACTTGTAAACCTCTGAAAATGGGGGAGCAAGGTCGAATTACTTCCGACTAACGCATTTTGATTGATAGTGCGAAATTGTACGAGATTGGTGCTGGAACTTCTGAAATTAGACGGATGGTCATTGGACGTGCTTTCAACAAGGAGTATGCCAATGCGTAAATGTATCGCAGAAGCTTGCAGTGGATTGGACAAGAGGTTGACTGTTACTATGACAGTCGCTTGGATATGTTGGAAACGCGCATCACGACAGCTGAATACCGCCTGGATAGGGCACTACGTTGCTGTTACCAGGGACGGGCAGATGGCTCCGTGTACTCTATTTTAAGTTCCATGCATTAAATCCGTGGGCAGATAGAAAGCGGCCAGGATCACGATGATCATGCATCATCCACTGTGCTGCAGCGAGGCGGTCGCGAATCGTGCATACAATGTCCCATGTAAATAGTGCCGCAACGTATCAAAATAGCATTGGTAAAGGGGGAAGAAAGAACAGATTCATCCAGCCAATAATCCAGTGCAAAGCAGATGGAGAAATTTTTCCGTTCCATATTTCTCACGAGACGTGTGTGGAACCCGTGGAAAAGGGATGGAACATGGTGCAATCGCTAGGTCGACAGGAGTGTGAAAAGAGGAAATACACCAACAAACTCCAGTCACGATAGTTCAAGGACAGGTGGTTTCTAGCTGGCGGTGACCAGGGCGATCTTGCCGGGTGTGCTGGGTCCGCTTGCGGGGGGTTGCTCCAGGCACCAATTTTAAATATTAGGCTAAAATTCATGATTCAGTTCGTCTTCTGTACTCGGTAGTAGCAACCAAGAAAAGGGAGTGAAATTTGGCCGGCAGACTGATGAAATCATGACGATTTCGTTCCAATTGGACTCATCAACAAATTGATACGGCGAACAAGAGGGTCGATTTACCCCAAACCTACAGTGCCGGGTCCAGCCAAGAGTAAGTGGTTCGCTCTTGGGCGTGCGGACCAGCTGCGCGGTGTGCCGGCAGCATGGTGAGATTCGGGGAGTTCGGTCAGAATATTGAATCCAGAGCTTCGTACGGAGTACCTTGTCTCCATCAGTAAGGTTTTGTGAGGGTGTCCTGTTCGCAAACGGACACCCACTCCGCGATGCCCTACTGTCCTGTCAAAAAGCCCGTGTGCATGATATACAGGTCAACTGGCGAGCGGGGGACCTGGGATTGACACGGAAGGAGAGTCCTCGCAATGCCCTGATCAACGGAGTGTTATCTCGTTTGATGGACAGAGGGTAGACGTATCCAGATTGCTATGCTGACATAGGGTGTTGAGCAAGTACTCAGCACTCGGTAATACGATAATAATGTACGATGAAAATTGTGGTGTTCCGCGTGACCACCAGCCCTTGCCTTCTGTGCTCGGTTGCTCCCCCGTCCTCTTCCTTGCCAAAACATAGTAACGGCATTTATTGGTACTAGATAATTGTTTTGGGTTGTGCTTGGAATTTTCGAGCCTTTGCTTGGCTGAGCTAGCAAGGGAAAAGCAACCAGGTGCGAGAGTAGCTTCTTGCCCGCACATGCAAAACAGGCTGCTGGTGTCCTTTTATTTTTTTTTGTACGGGTTCCCTGAGAGATACGAAAGCAGCGAGTAGGGAAGCACGATTGGAGTTTGAGAAAGGAATCAGGAGTATTTCTTTCTTTCTTTATCTCTTTATCTCTTTTTTTCTTTTGTTCTTTTGTAATATTTCCTGATTTATAAGTAAGGAAAGACTATTGAATAGAAAAGAAACAGATGAAGGACATGCGAAATCGTCAGACTTGTTTACCCCTGCTCTGTGGTCGGTCCTGCCTGCCTTGGAGCCTTCTTAATTTGTCTATGTATAGTCTTACCCCGCCGCCACTTGCCGTCGAAGTCATTTCCAAACATTGAAGTTCAATGCTCACTTCGTGTCGTATTTCGCGGCAGAGTTGGCCGTGAGCTTTGCCTCCATCCTTGGCTGTGCAGGTGTTGCCGGTTGTTTCTGTCTTTGTTTGTCTGTCCCCGCGAACTTGGACATTACCTGCATCAATGGAACCTTGGAGCGCGCTTCTTTCTGCCGTGTGCAGCTTTCTTGCAGGTTTCACACCGCTTGGCTCTCCAAGACAGACATGGGTCAACATTGAAGTGTCTAGCCCCAGAAAAATGGCTTCCGGGGCTTGCTCCAGACGGTCCGGCAGGGCTGTGCAAGAGCTCTAGAACTTCAATGTTGGAGCACTACAACATTGAAGGGCGCTGCAGCGAGCAATCGGTACAAGGCGGCCCCTGTAGATGCCGGTCGACCCGTGTTCCGGAGTCTCCAGGATGCATCGACCATCTGCAATGCTCCGCAGAGTCCTGCGAGCCTCTTTGCTGCCTCTGCATGGTGTCCGCGGTCGCCGCTGCCCTGACCATCGGCTGGCGAATTTTTACCGTGCGACGGCATCCTTGGCTTGTCCATTGGGCAGCGATAAAGGCCATGGGCATCATCAACAGACAGATCGGCCATTCACACATGTACATAGCCTCTGGTGGATTCTCCTGGCTTGGACCTTGGCTTTCTCAAGTGGTGCTGGGACATCGTCTCCAAGTCCAGCGGCGACATGGAGCTTGATTCAATGTTCCCAATTTAGTGCCCACAGCCCACAGCCTCCAGATGCCCCCCCTGCCCCGTTGTCCCCGCTGCCGGCCCTAGTGCAAAGGGGAGGGGGGGTGCCCGCTACTGGAGCTTGAGGGGTGCGCATCAGCATTGAACGACCATCAATTCTCGCCACCTAGGGCAGAGGTGGATGAAATATAAACCACAAACTCAATCGCCCGCTCGCTGCGCTGCGCTGCTCTGCTCTGCTCACCTTTCTCTCCATCTTTCCCACACTCTTTTTCTCGCTGGAACATCAATTGCAGCGAAATCGTGTTGTGTAGAAAGGTCTTACCTGAGCCTCAACGCCACCGCTTTCAGACAAGTCTTCGATCCACGTACACGCCACCAAAACTGGTTTCTCACATTGTGAGAAATAGAAAGCACTTTTTTCCTCCAAACTCACGCATCATCACAGCAATGGCTTCCAGACAGACCATATTCGCTCCCATGCTGCGGCACGCTACGCGAAGTGTTGCCCCTGCCACCTTGCGGCCGTCGTTCGCCGCCGCTCGCAATCTGCACAACATCCCACCTCGAAGCAACAAGCCTGGCAGTTACTCTCGCACCGATGCTGACATTGAAGTCGAGCATCCCGAAGAGCATGAACTGCCTTCCAGCAAGCCAGTCCTGGGTACTGGTGGACAGTTCGTGAAGCCTACTCTCCCCAGCTTCTCTCTTGATGGCCGTGTTGGTGTTGTCACTGGAGGTGCTCGTGGTTTGGGCTTGGTTATGGCTCAGGGCATGGTTTTTTCCGGTGCTGATGTTGCCCTTGTTGACATGAACAGTAGGTCGCATTCTTCCCTATAGACTGTTGCCTTGTTCAGGTTCCTCAACTAACCTGATTTATAGAGGAAGAAGCTCAGAAGCAGACCCAATTGCTCATGGATGCCTTCCACCGTGAGAACCCCAATGCTCAGCGGTAAGATCTCTGATTCCTTATACACGTATTCAAAGAACATGAGAATATGTTTGTTCTAACTGTTGTTCTTTCAAGAATCCCCACCGTCACCGCCCACTATGCCGACGTCTCCGACCCTGAATCCGTCGAAAGTTGCATTGCTGAGGTTATCGAGCAGCACGGCAAAATTGACCACCTCGTCACATCAGCCGGCTTTACTGAAAATTTCGAAGCCGTGAACTACCCCATCGACCGTATGCGTAAGCTATGGGCCGTCAATGTCGACGGAACGTACCTTTTTGCCACTTCTGTGGCCCGTCATCTCATGGCGCGCAAAGCGCCGGGTAGCATGGTCATGATTGGTAGCATGTCTGGCGCCATTGTCAACGTTCCCCAGCCTCAGGCGTAAGTGATTCCTTGGCGATCCTGTGTAACTCACTTTATTCCGAATCCCCTGGTCGACATGATGCCGATCGCGAGCGGGGTGCAGGGGGTGTGGATTTCGATCTTGTATGGAGTACATGTGCTTGAGAAGAGACCAATTGCTGACCTTACGCTGCTATTAGTCCCTACAACGCTGCCAAAGCTGGTGTGCGCCATCTGGCAGCTTCTCTAGCCGTCGAATGGGCTCATGCTGGAATCCGCGTCAACTGTATCTCCCCTGGATACATGCTGACTGCACTGTGAGTGATGAAGCACAAACGAGCAAGCTCAGTTGCCGAAATACTGACATTCCGCCCTTACAGCACTGAAAAGATTCTCGACGAGAACCCCGATCTTAAGCAGAAGTGGACCTCACTTATCCCCCAAGGCAAGATGGGTCAACCTCAAGACCTCATGGGCCCTGTGTCCTTCCTGCTCTCCGATGCCAGTAGCTACGTCACTGGTGCCGACATTCGCGTCGATGGCGGATACACCGTGACCTAAGCGCAGATGCTAACTGCAATAAATATAAAACAAATGAAAAGTCTTGACCGGGGAATGACATTTACAAGCGAGGCTGGGACGGGCAAAAGAAGCATCAGTCATTGTATGAAATGACCTAAATGGGCTCGGTTTTCCTAGTGTGCATTAGGCGTTGGGGAGTTTCATGACGGGTACTACTGTCCAATTTTTTTTCATCAAGCTAGTAATAATGATAGTTGCATGTCTGCAACACAGTCTTTGAACAGCATATGTGTCAGGTAATCATGTGTCTGGTCAAAGTCAAGCAGGCTATCATCACCTACCAAGTACTTTGGAGATCAAGGACTTGGTGACGTATTAGGAGCGTGGGCATTTCCCTTCCATGTAAGAACCCTTGCACTATTAGTTATACTGCCTACTGAGTGTAGGCTGTCCACTGGTCGCCCAACATGAGAGATCTGCAGGATTGATAGGGGGTTATTCTGCTTGAAGTCCCTCCAAGATGCCGGAATTGCAAGCGGACCTAGTTCATCGAGTAGTTGGCTACGTCATCGACCATAAGGGGTATCCGCCTGCCTACCTGAGTAGGTAGATAGATAAGAGGTCGAAAGTAATCGACTGATCGAATCAGTGTCAGTCTACAGACATGCGTCTGTCGAAAATCGAGCCTTGGCGAATATCAATGTTATGCCTTTGGGCAAAGGACGAGGGCATTGCAGTCAATGAGGGGAGGTTTTGGTATCCCCTTAATCATGCTGTATGCTTGGTATAGACTGAGAGCTTTCAGTGATACCTCGTCTTTCCAAGTCTAGTCTGATTCATCACGAAGATGATACGATTGGCAGCCGGCTAGATAGGACCGGGTGCGTGTCGACATATCTCGGTCTCGTTCTTCCTCAACGCCAATCTTTGCGTCTTCTCGCACAGAATGATGCACTCGACGTGCCGAATTTCTTGACCTTTGGGAACAGCAAGGCTAGCCAACACGGCGTAAGCCAGAACCATCAGGCTAGTGAATGCCGTCCAGACGTCTGGAGGAAAGGGTCACTTGACGACAAGCACCCCTCTTACATCCACTCTTGGACTGGCGCCACAGAGTTGTATTGTCGGAAACTGATGGAGATAAAAGCGGCGCCGTGCAGCCTCACATGCAACAACTTGGCCTGTTGGTGCGACCATCACTCTGGCTTATTGATGCTGGGGCGCAGGTTCGAGACTTTCAGCCGTTTTCCTGTGCAGCTCACTGCATGACACCATGTCTAGCCCTCATGTCAACATTAGACATGCTGATGGTCAGGTATAATTCTAGATGTGAACTCCGCAGTAGGTTAAGAAATTTGGAACTTGTTTCTGTAAAACGCTACCGCGTGAGGCGGGACAAGATTTTCTCGCGAAGAAACTCCGAAAAGCTGTACTATCATGGACAGTAATTTCAGGTTTGCGTAGTATGGCATCGTGGTTCATTTCGTGCAGTTCTAAGGAGCTGTGAGTAAATATTGTGCAGGAGTTGCAGACTACATGTCCCATCAGCTTGCGCATACCCTAGGCAGTTAGTTGTCTTGGCATGCTGTGTTTGACACCGTTCAAGTAACCTACTGGCACCTCGTCCGAACTTCAGAGTACAGATAGAACCGATTCTTCGGATTCAGCTTTCACCTTGATAGAACGGTGGAAGGATACCTCGATAGCAATCATATATTGTATTATTCTCGGAAATCCAGTGCTGACAAAAATGAAATGCTCCTTGGCACGTCAAGAGCATTGATCCGGCACCCAACATGCCTCTATTATGCTTTAATGCATCGACGCTATAGTATGCTTGTGGTGCATGTGCCCCCAGAGAGCATGCCGACAGAAGACGAGCCGAATCATGTAGACAAGCGTCTAAAGGAAAGTGCATACGTATTGGATACAGCTAGTGTGCTCGAGGCGTCCCGTGACGCCGATATTTGCAATAGCAGAGATGGTAAGGCTTGGTAAGCCAGTATTGTTTCGGGAGAAAAGGGTCGTTTCTAGTGGAAGCCCAGGCTGATCTCCTCTAATTCCATGCGAGCAGCCTGATCCATCCCACTGGGGCGGAATATGACTTGATATCTTTGCATCGGTGTGCCTTGCATTAGCCTCTGGCAGTCATGTCTCGATCGTCTCGGAGTCGCGGCCGGCCGCACTGGAACTGATCGAGCCGGGGAGCTAGCGTTTTGCTATCCAAGGTGCATGTTGATTGAAATACAACAGCTGGTGTACATCAAAATCGTACATCAGGACTCCTTCTTTGATTTAATGCCACACGTACTAGGGGTTGGCGAGGTGCAACTCGCCGAATCATCAGACGTTGCTTTCCAAGTTGGGAAAGAGCCACCGAGTCCCTGGATCGAGCCCAGTTGCATACCACATGGAAAGCAGCAGATCCATGTCGGCTCAATGACGGATGATGAATGGGATACTAGCTAAAACTTCACAAATACGCAATTCTTGGCCTTGTCACGATGTCATTGTGCTCCGTGCCAAAGTGTCTCTCAATTTCCTTCATCCATCCAAGCGCTTATTTCGCCGGCCGGGAATACTGGCCTGTGTTTATTTGGTCGCACTCGCCAAGTCCTTGGCCTTGCCCTCACAACCTTCCTCAGCTCAACAACAAATGAGGAAGAGTGATTTGTATGTATGTACTCCGTACTCCGTAAGTGTGCCGCTGCCCATGCTTTCCTACATCGCTACTTCGTTCCATTGATGCCGAAGGAATGTAGAAGAAACCAGCAGTGCGATGAAAAGCTGAAATACATATGGCAGCGTCACACAACTGACCACATCCAATTTTACGCAGATGGAGGAGACCAGGTGACAGGTCATTTTCGAGGGCCCGAGATTGCCATGACATCGACAGAGCTTGGGCGCATAGTGTGACTGGCAGCTGTTTTGTTTGGCTGTACCAGCTGGGCGGGAACAAACAAGCTCAAGGGTCCCATGGCTCCCTCGAGCCCAGTTTGGAAATTCATGCGCCATCAGCAGCAGCACAAGACAAGTACTAGTACTTGCTATCCCTCCATGTCTCGGGGACGAATCCTCACCGTCGAAGCTTCTTCGAGAAAATATTTGGCCTTGGATATTGTCTTACTGTCATGGAAGCTACTATTATCGAGGGTCCAAAAGGTCTGGAAAGCAAATACCACCACCACCATTTGCGGCAGTCTGGTGGCCAAGGAGGAATGCGGTGTAATCAGTCTGGGCTGGCACGCTGAAGCTGCCCTCCGAAGCCGTCAGAAACAAAGAGTCAACCAAACGACTACCCAGAGAGCAGCACGCCACGTCGATGGACCCGCCAGATTCTTGACCAAGGAAATACAGTTTATATTGGCCTTGAGCAGAAAATAACTGTACAATTGTGCCGCAAACGACCGCATGAGGCAACATGTTGTGAGTGTTTTATTAGCTCCAGTCTTGAGTCATGTTGGGCCATTCTAAGAGAACCGATGGATAATTCTCTTCACAGAACTCCGTAGCATCACGGAACCATGATATTAAGCTCACAGCTATTGCAATTACAACGCAATCCGGGGACAGCGGTTGAACCACCGATCCAACTATCAACAGCGAGTAATTCGACATGCCAGTTCTGACAACAATATGAATTACAGCCAGAGACATATTGTAGAATCATACGGAGTATTTGCCTCAATTCATGTCCCGGATTCGGAAGGGTCAGGGTCTTGGGTACCCCTAGGCGGGAGATGCAGAAAAGCGGAGCGCGGAGTACTCCTCCGTAAACAGGCCCTCGAAGTCGGCGTCGGCCTAGGCTTGGGAGCAATGCAACCACTGCACAGCCCAGTTTGATGCCCAGCGCTTAATTAATAAGAGCCAAGGACGGGGCCAAGATGAAAGCTCATCTGCATCGAGCTGTGCGGAGCGCACACCGACTTCAGAATTGGAGCTCGGCCCCTGGAGCCTTCGTCACGCGGCCAACGCCACGGTCCTGGTGACCTCTCGCTAACTCTCGGGATATGTTGAATATCGGCAAATGATGTGCGGCGAGGCAAGGAATATTGGGATCGCTGGCTCCAATGCTTCCTTCAGGGAGTAGTATTTGATCACTTCTCAGATGCTGGGGCAAGGACTGAGACGTTGTTGCAGTTTGGTCCTCCCCATCTCGAAAGGCACTCCAGACATTGCGATTGTACATACATGTGTTTCTGAATACTACCTCGGTGTACAAAAGGCTCTCCCTCGATTTGACGCGCCGCCTGGGTGTCACAAGATATCCATCCCTGCTTGACGAGCACAGTCAGACAAACAAATAGCAGTTGAAAGATTGCGAAATGCTATGGGCACGCCTTGTCACGTTTTGAGCAGCATTTGACAAATGCCGTTTGCTACTGGCCATGATTACCATGCACGTCCAGCCACTGGGAGCCGGGAGCCATGTCTCGTTCCCTGGCTGAGGCTCTGCCCTGTTCTTGGCCTCTGATACTGAAATAGAGCTTTGGGACATCGATGACGGCGGCGGCAAGGATACTAGTTAGTATGTACCATGATTGTGGAGGGCAGGGTCCCGTGCCTCTTTCATGTCAACCCCTGCTTTCCAATGCTCTTGGCCCCACGGACAAGAAAGATGGTTATTTACGGAGGAGTCAAGGCTACGGAGGACTACTGCTAGTACGGAGTTGATTCAGTCCAGACCAGCGCAACAGGACTGGTTGGTGGCTGGCAAAGACTGGATATTGCTGCGCTGTAAAGTACTAACGAACGAGCAATAGTGACTATGTAGCTTGGAGATGTGTTTAGTGAAGCGGCAGTTCTGGCTGTGGTCATGATGCGAGTGTTCAGGGGGGTGCATGGCTCAGTTATCCGTGGCCGGTCAAGTGCACGGCGAGGTGCGTCTCTTCTGCTTTTCTTGTTGGGCGTCTATTTCCCAGAGCCGGAGGCTGCAGCTTGCACACATGCAGCATCTTGTAGCAGCAAGACGGATTGAAAGAAAGCTTAGAGAGTTTTTGCGTGTGTGAGCGACGTCTGCGTAGGCGAGGCGAAGGTGGACTGCCGGCCTGCCTGTCACGAGACCGCTTCATATGAGTACTAGTAGTAGTAGTAGTAGTCGCTCTTGTGCGGGTCCCGGTGGCTAGAAATATTGAAGGGATAAATAAACAGACATACTGTAAAGTGTCGACTGATGCCTCCCCAATTTCTCCGCAACTCGACCTTGACACAGCTTTCTCAAACAGCCTGGGGTCCGAGTGTGAGTCTGGATCTGGATCTGGATCTGGATCTGGATCTGAGTTCTCCGCGGCGACATATTTAGCCGTGGATCTATCAATTCCGCATCTCACAGCGTCGACGCCAGAAGCTGTCGATCTCGTACATACTGAAGGGCCCTGGCCGCTTGAGCACTGCTGTTGCCAAGCTGAGCATCAGCATCAGCATCAGCATCCCAGATAATAAGCTACGCCAGGTAGCACAGGGTTGGGGTACGGAACCGGAGCACGGCGTGCATTGCGCAGTGTGCGGTGTGCAGTGGTGGTCTGTGAAATCTGAAGTCTGGGCTGGAGCTGTCGTCAACCTGACGCATCCAAGGGTTGGGACCTCGAGACGTCAGTGTGAGAAGCAAGACGATTGATGTGTATGTATTGACGTGGGCGTTGGGCTTGGAAGATTCCTCGCCAGCTGGGTCCATCTGGCGGTCATCTGGCGGTCATCTGGCTGGCCCCAGTTCCGACACCGCAAGGCCTCCACTCACCATTGAAGGGTATCCCAGTGCCAGGCCCAGGCCAAGGGACGGCGCACGGAGCACCGAGTACTCCGTACGTGAGCACCTTTAGACTTCAGGGGACCCAACTTTCTGCGGCTTCTAAAGTTGGCAGCTTGAAACCCCCAGTGGGCTGCTCCTGCCCAGACATCGGGAACCTGGTCTGGCCCGGCTAGCTGGCTGGCTCAAGCTGGGTGCCTCTGCCTCTGCCTCTGCCTCTGCCTTGTCGGCAGCCCGCGGCGTCGTGACTGCTTGCTTGGTTGCTCGTTGATGTCAAGACACGATTGAATCTCAGTCCGGGCTGGTCTGGTGCGTGCTTCTAGGCATCGACATCTGGAAGCTCCCCAGCCCTCAAGTGCTCCAACCTGGCATCTCTTTCAGCCCTCCAAGGCCGTCAACTGGTCCGTCACATACGGCCTACTACTAATAATACCACGGGGGCCCGCTCGGGCTCCTGCTTTCGCCCAGTCTGCTCGCCAGTCTGGCTCGTCGGTCTGCCCGTCGCTTATCTCACTCGCGACTCATTATCAACGCCAGAACACATAAAAATTCTGACCCTCGTTTTTAAAGCGGTATTGTCGCCATTGCCATCACCCGCCAGCCCGCCACGGTCTTTCTCTCCTTCAGGGCGCCTTTTTCACCTTCATCTTTCTTCTTGGCCTCTCTCCGCCACCACGCTCTCTTGTTCTGAACACGACCAAAAGGCGCCGGCGTTTGTACCCTGCCATCCGTCATCCCGTCTTCCGTCATCCATCATCATCATCCAGCGCGGTATCCAGCATCTGGCCTCACACCCTGTTCCGATTTTCCGCTTCTCCGCTTCTCACTCGCGGCGGCTGCAAGTCGACTTGCGACGACGCCCCCCGTCTCTTGTTCAATAGCACAAGCTTGTCACCGGCCATGATGGTCAACCCTCGCAGCCAAATATAGACCCCATCCAGTGCCAACGCCTGCCTGGTTTGGACCCTCTCATCAAAATCTGAGCAGAGTCTGAGCAGAGTCTGAGTCCCTGTTGGGCTCGACTCATCTCATCTCGCCTGGTCTCGTCTCATCTCGGCGCCAACCTGTCGAGCTCACACTGCCAAAAAAAAATGGAGCCAGGTATACCCATGATACTGCCCAAGGGCATTGTCATAAACACGACCGACATCTACAAAGAAGTTGCCAGTTACCCGATTGTCCCTGCCCAAAAAATATGGGAATACTGGCATGGTACGTCTTGTCTTTCTTTCTACAATACAACAAAGATTGCATCTATTAGTTTCATCCGCCGCATTGCAGCACACGACCGAAAATAATGGCTGACATGACTTCGCGCATAGTGTATACAACAACAAATAAGAAACTCAAGGACCCAACGGCCCGCCGCTTGGAAAACTTTTGGTGGCAGGTATGGGGGAGTGACCGAAGGTATCTGAGCGGCCGAGCATTGGCCAAGATTTATGAAGATATTTCCCTTGGCCCTGCCATTGTCCCCCTTCACGGCCCGCCGAATCGTTGGGAGGGCCCGGGTGTAAGTTGCCTTGGCCAACCTAACCAACCCCCGTTTCCCCCGGCTTGAAGATTGATGCTGATGTCTTGCCATAGGTTCCTCCATTGACCAAACAACTCATAGTCGCTCATCTTCACCGTGGCCTCGACGAGACCAAACACCGACCAGAGCCGCCCCGGATAAAGTCCAATGACACCTCCATCAAGAGCCTATCATCAAGCGCCTCGAAACCTCCACCATCACACCCTATCTTGAAGAAGTCCAAAAACCCATTGTCCTCTGGGCCAAAGCCAACAGCTCGATTTGCGTCTCCACCCGAGTCGGACGATGACGGTGGCAGGGAGAGCGACATCCCCTCATCTGGAAGTACTGCAATAACGGGTTTGGAGATGGCAATGTCCACAGAGTCACCGCCTGCAGCGAGGGCAGTATCAGCACCGGAAAACGCATCGCCGGCGGGAAAACAAGCGTTGAATAGAAAAGAAAGCCCACAGTTATTGCCAAATTCCGCAGTACAGCCTTCGTCAAAAGACACAGCGCCAACTGCAACAACGCGAAGTCCAACGCAACTCAGAACAGTTTCACCTATCCCCGAACAACCACAGGACAAGGCTGAATATGAATCTACAGAACCCGAGGACAACGTGTCAACAGCGTCACATCGCCCAGCCGTTCTTAGCGCCAAGGCAGCTGGCAAGCAACCAATGCCATCCCGAAAGATCGCAAGAAAGCTGTCAAATCTTTCTCAGGAACCATCTCGCCCACCTATATCAACGTCCCTAGCGAATTCTAAAGCACGAACAACACCCGACTTGCGCTCCCCGGTATCCGCCAGGTCGCTTTCATTGACACGAACTGATACCGATAATTCGTCGACAACCGGATCCTTGACCGACTCGGTATCCATGGCGGGCCGATCACTATCGCAGAATGGATACGCACGGAAGGGTTCGTTGTCGCAGGGTCTTTTTACAGGAGCGCTGGCCACTACCACAAACGTGGCCGCGAAGGGGCAAATTATTGATCAGGCGGGCTCACTTCCGACCTCAGGTGTTATTGACCCATACGTGGAAGATGATAACCTTGCGTCACGGCCGTCTGCTACCTCTTTACTGGAATCGCGAATGCAGCCCACTCAACCAAGTCCTGCAGCTAGTGTTCCCATGGGTCGAACCAGAAGCCAGCTCACGCTTCTCCTGGAACGAGAAAAGACCAAGAAACACTAATATACTCGACAACCAGCAGATATGATGCTCGATATCGACTCACCAAAACGGCATTACGTGGATCGACGAAGAATACGACATCTTGCCACAGCATCTTCCGCCTCCTAATAATGCCATAAACAATTCCAGTAACATTTTGATTCCCTTTTTCTTAAATCATTCCCACGTTTGCCAAATTTTAGCTTCCCGGCACCAAACCACTGGTCAACCCAATCGAAAGAGAGCAGTGGGCTTGCTCATTTACGGCATCGGCACATTGTATAGCTGTTCTTAATTTTTCTTTCTTCTTCTATTATCAGGTTAAATTGCGCGAAATGGCGAGCAAATGGCACAAGCTCCACGGGCGATAATAATTGTCTTGACGGCGTTTAAAACAATCAAAAAAACACAACACGCTACATCAACGGGGAGTTTACTTGGCACTTATTTTTTTGTTTCTTTTGGTCCTTGGGAGAAAGCATGGACGGTTTCGGTTTCAGGCTCAGGTTTTGGGAAGCGTGCTTGAATTTTATGTCTTTTTTTATAACATGGTTGGGTTTAGCGGAGCATATTTAGCTATCAGATGCCAATGCATAGCTGCTGGAGGACATGTCACTGTTGAGATAAGGAACTGATCTAATACACTTGTCGTGCTTTGCCGACATCCGTTCAATACGCCTTGGGTCGAGCAACTATCCTTGGTATAGCATGAGTCTTGGATGCGCTACGTGTTCCTGACGTCATGGCGCCTTGATTCCTCTGTTTCTTCACCTCTAGCCCCAACATGGCGTATCTTACATGCCCAGAGAAATATTCAATTTGGCACCGCGAGTAATAATAAATATTAGCAATGTCACTGCTGCTCAACTTTCTTCTCTTACACGCCCTGTCCGGTACCCAAAGGACAAACAAACAATCGCTCCGACCACCGGCGCCTCCGAATCCCGGACGTGTGTGCTTCGTCCTCATCAGCACGTATTAACTAAGGATATCAAGGAAATTTTGTTGATGAACCATGGCATAGACAAGTCTTTGTTCCTTTTCGACGCCCCGAAACCCACAATGACCATGACAAAGAAGGTATCCCATGAGGCAAGATGTGTAAAATGGAGGGGGAAAAAAGTAAAGATACGAAATAGGGGATTCCGGCTGGTAAAAGGGAAAAAACTAAGGGAACGGAAAAGAACGATAAGCTGTACTTTGTTTCATGGGGCGTTGAATCACCAAAAGCAAAACACATATAAACAACCAAGACGGGTGGCTGGGTCTGAAGAGATGAGAAAGCACCACGAAGTCTAGTCGTGGATACCAAACATCTTCCGTAGTGCACCGAATTTCTTCTTCTTGTGTGGTTGAGTCTGGGCCGGCTCAGTTGTAATAAACATGTCGGGGATCTCGGGCACAGGCACCGTGTTGTCAACCTCCGGGTGACCGAGACCGACCATGCCTTGCGAGGTGCTCCTACGTCGTAGAAAAGAGCTCCTCCTCGCCTTTGATGGTCCGCCAGAAGTAGACGGGCGAGCTGGCTCTTTTAATCTGCCATTCTCAGCGTCGGTGCCTCCTGCATCAGCCAATGGCCAGCTTGGACCCCGTTTGTGAAGCGAGTTGCTGCGGAGGACCGCCAACTCTTCTGTTGTGCGCTCCAGGTCGGTGTCTTTGCGAGCCGCACTTTCGCCAAGATCCTTTGATACCTTGTCTGCCGGGTCCTTCTTGCGACGCAGTATTGACATAAAACTACCACGTCGGGTGGTGGGCCTGGGCATATCATTCTGAGGCAATGGGCTCAGAGTGCCGCGGCCGGATCGACTTTGATGAACTGAGGGCTGTCCGTTCGCAAGGGTGTCGCGTTTTGGCTGCACAATACCTTCATCTTCGTCAGGGAGATCTGGGGATACCGAATCACGTTGCGACGGGACCACATTTGAGCCATTACCGTTGCGAAGAGACTTTGGAAGATCCTTGCTCTTCGGCAATGGAGTTGGCTCATCCTCATCACTTGAATCAGCAAAGCGGCTTCTGAAGAATGATGGGGCGCCTCCTTCATCCTCGTCGCTGGAGTCAGCAAAGCGGCTTCCGCTCCTAGATTTACTTCCAAGCCCTGACGACTTCTTGAAGCTCCCCATCTTCAAACGAGAGCTCGAAGACTGAGGTCGGCCTCGTAAGGACTGGCGCATTCGGCCAGCGCCACCACTCATGGATGGCGGAGTGCCCGGAGGCAACGAAGAAAACGAGTTACGTCTAAAAGCTGGAGGTGACAACGATCGTAGACTGAAGCGCCTGGTAGGATCACTCGGAGACGGTTGCTCACGCATGCTCGCGCGCATCGACATTCGGAAATTGTGTCCGTCTCCAGATCCAGATCGCTTGCGTTTAAAGCTGCTCTGGCTGTCATCTGAGCCACGACGTCGCAGTGTGGGCTTGGTGGCGGATGTAGAGCTCAAGTCGTCTAATGACATATTACGCTTGTGTCCTTTCAGAGAAGTTGTCGTACCAAGTTGCTGATACGAGGCAGGTCGTCCAGAGCCGGATAACGCCGGCCGCAGAGTGTCACCATAGGTCTGGGAGTTTCTCAGCGATTTTCGCATTCCCACGGTAGAGACGGTTGGTGGTGTCGCAGCTGGATTCGACCTTGCGACAGTTCCATCCGCGGCTGCTTGCCTAGACACGGCAGTTTTCGCGGGAGGATGGCCATTTCTCATTGATTTCCTCATTCCGCCTGGCCGCTCGGGGCTTGCATTTCGGAGCGGTCCCGGTGCATCGGCGCGCATAGACTGGCGCATTGCGGTACGAAGCTTTGGAGTTGTATTTTCCGCGGTCTTCGGTTGGGCTGCAACAGCTGAAGCCCGTTTGGCAACGTTTATGCCATGTTCGTCGTCACCATCATCCGCAACATCCGACCATCTGGTACCTGGTTTAATCTGGTAGGATCTTTCATCGTCCATTCCGAGGGAAGGAGCAGTGACTTTCTCGGCCTGCTCCTTAGCTTCTGGCTTGGGTTCCTTAATCGCGCTGGCCGCTTCGCCGGTTTCTGAAAGGGCCTCGATTTCCAGTTGTCGACGTCTTTCGGTTGAAAGGCTCCTCCAGTATGCCTTGGCATTCTCCCAGTCATCTGGAACTTCCTTGACAGGGGTGGAATCTTCTCGTTCACCCTCAAGGCTATCCTTGGATTTCGTTACGATAGGTTTGTCCTGGACTTTCTTCGCGATTACCTTGCCGGACGTCGAGCTGTCAACTACAGCATCGAGGGACAGGAAGCCATCTCCATCAACAGCTTCCAGGTCTTCATAAGCGTCGCTAAATCTGTCGTTTTCAGTTTCCTCCTCCTCCTCCACAATGTCAGCCATACCAGTGGCAACAGCAACGGGTGCTACAGTTCGAGTAGGTGTCGACATGCCAGAGCTGTCGGATTCTTCGTCATCGCTATTATCTCCGAAGGTGTCCTCGTCATCAGGGAAACTTCCCGGCGGCGTGGCTTCACCAGATGATTGTGCACGAGGGCTTGGGTGTGAAACTGAGATAGCGGGAACACCGCCATTCGCATCCGACTGCGTGGGAATTGGTTTCGTAGGGGTAACTGGTGTTTCAGACACAACGTGACCAGATCCCTTCGAGGTAGTTGACTCAGGCGCATCCTCAGGCTCGGTGGTTGCGTCGGTATCCAAATCGTCGTCAGAACTCTCCACATGGCCATCTTGATTCGCCTCAAGGGGGTTCGGAGCTGCCGGGAGTGGTTCCCTGAATTTCGAGATATTGGCAGCATTTCTGGAAGCCAAATCCAGCGAAACAATAGACCCAATCAGGGTATCTGTTGATGGACCCATGCCAGCGGCAGCAGAGCCATTTTCAGTAGGGAACATGCGGTCTGAAGGACGGACCAGAGGCCGCTCCTCTTTTTCTCTGACCTTCTTTTCTCGAATACTTCCGAATTGTGGCAGAGCCGGTCGAGGGGTCATAGTTTCGTCCTCAGCAATGCTGACGCTCTCTTTCTTTGTAAACTTTGACACAACGTTGTGCCATGGCTTTTTCGTCTGAGGGCTTGGGATCATTGGTGAACCGCTTTGCTGATGGGGCACGCCTTGACCAACAACGACCGTGTTCCTGTCATCCCAGCTAACTCGTGCACTCTTCTTCCGGGCTAGTGCAGGATCCTCACTGTCTTGGGGGCTCAACTGCCTGCTGCTAGATGCTTCGGAAGAGCCATCATCGGACGGCGACACACCTCTGGCTTGAGTTGATAACTTCAAGGCTGACTTGCGGGGAGACACTGATCGAGGTGGTGGTTCGTGCTTAACAACCAGTTGGTCCGTAGATGACGAAGCAAAGCGCGCGGATCGTGCCGGGCTTTCGGAGTGAACACGAGCTGGGCGAGCTTGCTTGTCTGGCTTGGCGTCTCTTGGTTCTGGTTTTGTTTGTGCCTCCGTCTCAGCTGTGGGAACCGCCACCACAGCTGCTGCCGCTGCCGCCGCCGCTGCTGCTGAATCCATCTGCCCTTGTTCGTCTCCCTGTTCTTTGGTATCCTCTCGCTCGAAGTCCTCATTCACGACAGAGTGCTTCTTGCCTGGAGCAGGTCTTGCAACGACGGGTTCCGCTTCGCCAACTGTTAGCTCTTTTGTCGTACCAGCAACTTCAGGCTCCGACGCTGCCTGGACCCTCTTCTTCTTCTTCTTTCTCTTCTTCACTACGCCATCCTGCGATTGTTGAACTGCAGTTTCAGGAAGAACAACGGGGGCTGGCTCGGGTTCCTGTTCAGCCTGCGGCTCATGCTGGGTTTCTAGTTGCAAGTTTTGCTCTACCGCGGGCGCCTTTGTCCGTCCTCCCACGGTACCTTTAGCAAGGTGTGATCCGGCTCTGTTCACGCTTTGCTTTTTCCTTTTCGGCTTTTCCGGCACCTCCAGCGGTCTTTGAGAACGAGCTACAACCTCGCTTTGGGGGATCATTCGTCGTGAGTTGGGATCGTAGACAAGGGTATCGTCGACGGAGGGCGTTGGAGACAGGGCTCTAGATCGAGGATAGGAGAAGTT